TGTATAAGCCACAGCACACGCATACGCACATCCGGTGTTGTCCTTCAGAGTGCAACACGATGCAGTCCAAACTCCGGAACAGTTTAATTAATGTCAAGCATTAAGCGTGATTACGTCAAGTGGAAAAGCAGGCAAAAGCAGTACAAGCTGAGCTGTTTAGGTAAGAGTTTTACACTAATTGCAGATGAAGAAGGAAAGGTTTGGGATTACGTTTTGAGCAGCCCAGTAAAGAGGCAACTTACAAAAGTTGGCTTACAGTCGCTCAGCTATTGCACAATCTGTAATCTAGAATCTGGCGTCAGTCAGTTGTCAGTTGGGAAGAAACTGCATGCCTACTAATTGAGTGAAATTGAATTGTTGAGTGTAATTAAAATAATCTTGCTAATGCCGAGCAAGAGAACTTGGTCTCAGCTAAGCCAGCTGCAATTTGCTTGCAAAGTGCAAGTCTTCCTTTGTTTGCCGAGCAGGCGGCAAGAAGTGCTTGGACAAAGCCGGCGAAGCAGCTCAAGCGACGCAAACGCAGGGCAACATTTTTAACATTTTCATTTGTGATGACTCTTGGCCTTAATTTGTGCAATTCATCAGCAAAGGCGGCCAGGCTGGGAGCCAGAGGAGGAATGGCTAAAGAGCTTCCGTTTCGATCATCACACTAATAATGACAGCGAGGAATGCGCGGCTGGGGCAACTGGGGAATGCAGCCAAAGTCTGGCAGGGGCAGCACGAAATTGAAAACAATTAACAAATATGTTCTGGCCTTGGCCAAGAGACACACACGAAACAGCGCGGCCTGCTGACTGGAATCGCAATTGTCTGGCTGTCTCATCAAATGAAAATTGTTGAGCCTGAGCCAGCGTCTGTCTGAAGCGTCTGTCTGTCTGTCTGCGCAACGATCTGCGTCGAGTCCAATTGGCAACATCTTCTGCTCAATTGCCAACTCATTCATCATTTTTAATTATGACAATTGCCTCGGCCTCTGGCACGGAGCCTGGGAAAGAAGTGTGCAGCCCGCTAGGAAAAGCCTGAGACAATCATGCAGCTCACGTGCCTATTAGCTGCTAATGGCATTTGCCCACAGTTCAATGAGCAGGCCACTCGATTTTTATGGCACTCGCTGCCGCATTAGGAAGTTGGATTTATTGCCGTCTGTCCAACAGGTTGTTTGACGCCCAATAACCTTTAATGCGTTGCCTCAATTAAGTTGCCAGCGAATTCTCATTCGTGCCACGCCCTCGCAAACTAACAAACGTAAAGCGAAGTCAAATGTGGCCGTAGGGCATTTATATATATATATGTATTTATAAGTTTGCATAGGCCATAAATGAATTTTATATCAAGCAAATTTGAAACAGATTACAAATAGTAAAGCAAAATTATTTATCTCTAATTTTGATTTTTCTAGTCGAAACAATCAAAGAATGTTTTGTTTTTTTTTTTTTCAATCAGAAAAATATAAATAAATTAATGTTTAATATAATTGCAACTCTAATTTCACGTTATTATTTTCATATAATTTATTGATTTTTAAAACCATTTGAACGTCTAACTATTTTTTATGAAGAGAAAATTAATTAGCTTAGTATACAAATTATTATTGAAAATTAATGTATTAATAGTTACTATCAATTGAGGATTCATTTAGAGCTCTTAATATACATTATTATTTTCAAAGGAATTATTTTAATATACAAATTGGTGTTAATTATTTCAATAATAATAATTATACTTTGATAAAGATTAATTTATAGAATTTTTAAAAAGTTTTTTTTTTTATTTTTTATTAATAACTTATTAACTTTTAAATGTGGAGATGTAATTTATCAATTATTTACCAGTAGCTAATAAAAAAACCGTGAAAGGCATTTTTTATTCCCTATTTACATGTCACTTGCCCATATATATTTTAGGCTCTATCATAATAAAAAATTAAATCAATATTGATAATTATTATTTTATATATCTGCTAGATAACTCAACCTTTATATCTAAGCAAAAGTCGATTTGCCTTCTGCGAGATTTCTATACAGAACTATAGCCATACCTATGTTGAATATTTGACAACGGTCTGATTGCTACAAGGGACACCTTGACAGTTATCGCACCTTTAATTACCTTATTACTTGACAATATTCTCGCTCATTGCACGAGCGTCAAGTTGCTGCTCTAATCTTCTAATCAGCCAAAGCCAAAAGTAATAAACCCCTAAATGACCGCAGAGCAACGCCCCATAAAATAGTAATGAGTGTCCTTATCGGGCCTATAACCGAATTGAAATTAGAGTGTGCCACACCTGAGCGTGTGCGCTGCCGAATTACATGAATGTGGGTAGGAGGCGGGGAGGGAAGCGAAGGTAATTAAGGCACAGCGCATATAAATTAATAATTTTAATTATAATTATGATTGCCAGAAGCGGCCGACAATGCATTTAATTTGCTGAATGGCGTTTAAACGCGAATTGAATTTATGTACTACGACCGGAGTATGCAAATAATTACCCCCGCTTTGCATAATATCGCATTTTCAGCTCTCGCTTTCGGCCAAATGTAATTTGCATGACAGCTGGCGCACGCGGCGTATGCGCAATATTTATGCCGCCATCTCACCGCATTTTAATGCGCAACACGAGCCACAGCCACAGAAATAATTACTTCAACATGACTTCAATTCTGAGCACATTGTCCTGCCCGAAGTTAAGGTGTGCCACTGGTCTATTCTGGCGGTGGGGGCGTGGCACTGTGAGAGTGACCCATGCTGGTAGCCTGACAAATGTGATAAGTCGAGTCGAAGTCGGAGCACTCAAATGCAAACATGCGACGTGGCCAACTGTCACACAAAGCCAAGACTGGCTGATTATGTACTGTGACCACCGATGTTCGTGGCTTTCACAATGGCAGGGAATAATAATCAATAGCTGTGAATACTCGCGCATTGAATTAGGAGTAGAATATGATTGCTAGATTGAGCATGAAAGCACTTATTAGCGCATCATCGGGGCTACTATTCACATTCTCATTCTACATTCACATATCATGTTATATGTTCTTCGTCTATATTTGACTCTGAAACTACGTTACACTCAAGTGAGATTGTACAACACTGGCTCGATGTCAGAGCGACCTTTACAATCTTAGAGTTTTGAATTTATTGTCGTTTGTACTAGGTGTCATTTGTTTTTATAATAAATATTTATTGGAGCATGCATAAGAAATAAGTTCAAAATAAGTTCGATAATAAAACTCCCTAAAATTTAAAATAAATAATTCTATATTCAACATATTCGTGTGGCGTCAATTAACCATTTCAACCCGAGATCGATATTCATAGTCTAGACTTAATCAGATTCCAGTAATGTATTATTTGCTTGTACAGCTGCTTAAAGGCTCTCTCTCTCTCTCTCTCTCTCTCTCTATCTATCTCTATCTCTTTTCGTATATATAACTGCATCTCGCTTGTTATTTTGTTGAGCTGTTGCGAACCCATCAAATGCTTAGCTCTTCATCAATCAATTACTATTGTTAATGCCAAATCTCATTAACAAGAATTGCTCCTCCCGCACCACACAATGTTATGTTATTAACAGCATTCTGTTGTGTACTGCTGAGTACTTCCTCTCACACACTTGTCACTTGCCTCTCCTGGTACTGACATTTCGATACAACTATATATTCACAATACTATACGAGCGACACAGCTCTAATCTACAAATAAAGACGAGGAAACTACAAGCCGGTCTTTTACTTATCGGCGACGCCATCACTCCAACAACTATTTTAACACTTGTTCAACACTCAATCAATATACGCTGCACAGAGCTGAAGCACAGTCTCTGCCATAATTGAATATCCACGCAAATGTTCGCCAATCAATAAATATATA